TTGTGCCAAATCAAAATTTAGAGCAAGCTATAGTCCTTAGTTTGCGACACGCTGAAGTTCGAGATCTTCATAGAGCCGTTAATTCATCTCAAACACGATTTTTATTTGGTAAAAAAAATAATTCCAAAAGACGTGGAACGTCGTGTTGAGAATGTGGTACATATCTGGGGAATGTGGTACATATCTGGGGAATGTGGTACATATCTGGGGAATGTGTACATATCTGGGGAATGTGGTACATATCTGGGGAATGTGGTACATATGTGGAGAATGTGGTACATATCTGGAGAATGTGGTACATATCTGGGGAATGTGGTACATATCTGGGGAATGTGGTACATATCTGGGGAATGTGGTACATATCTGGGGAATGTGTACATATCTGGGGAATGTGGTACACATCTGGGGAATGTGGTACACATCTGGGGAATGTGGTACATATGTGGAGAATGTGGTACATATCTGGGGAATGTGGTACGTATCTGGGGAATGTGGTACATATGTGGAGAATGTGGTACATATCTGGAGAATGTGGTACGTATCTGGGGAATGTGGTACATATCTGGGGAATGCGGTACATATCTGGGGAATGCGGTACATATCTGGGGAATGTGGTACATATCTGGAGAATGTGGTACGTATCTGGGGAGAAAGATGAGGAGAATGGGTTTGGGGAGTTTTTAGGTTAGATAACAAATGACACTGACCAAGCTCAATGTAGAATGCGAAAGAATTAAATCAAGTCACGGGAAATGATATATCAGTTTAAGGGCATGGGCGGGTGATGAGTACCAACTTCCTTATTTCCGAGTCTAAAGATGTAATACTTTGCTAATAGTTATAACTCAAAGAGATAAGCATAAAAATATTTTTTTTAATTTTTTAAATCCTCCGTTGCCATGGTGACGGCGGCCATATTGGATTTTATTGACGATTTTTAAATGGAAATAACTCAAAAATGGTTTGTACAAATTTCAAAAAAACTTAATACAGTCTGGAGATACATGTGTTTAACACTTCCTATTGAATACATTTTCAAAAAAGAAGATAGTTTATTTTTTACTTTTTTTTCCCATACATCACTGTAAAAAATTCATTATTTCGTCCAATTTTTTCACTATTTCAACAAAAAAAATTTTTTTAAAAAAAATTTCCAAAAGTGTTCAATACGTTTTATTTGAACATATATACAGAGTAACTGGAACAAATTTAGTTCAGTTCTGATAATTATTAACAAAGTTATTTCAATAATTGTTCACAAAAGTATCAAACTGAGAAAAACGCAAAAAACCAACAAAAAGTTGCAAAAAAAGAAAATTTACAGCTGCATGTCACTAAAATTGACCACATTTATTGCCTAAAGTATGGTGTTGCTGAATATATTCCTTCTGAGCTTGTTCAGCTGTAAGTTTCCTTTTTTTCTGGCTTTCTTTGTTTTACCTAGAGCTGTAGTAAAGCTGTTGCGAAGGCGTCTTTTTTGGCGTCCTTCACTGAGTCTTCGACTATGGTTTCCTTCTTTTGACAGCAATGCCATAGCATGCATGGGCCCAATACTGAATTATGCTATCGCAGAAACAGCAGTATATTTTGCATGGTCTCGTGTCTAAAGCCAATTATGATAAGACGATGTCTTTGTTTATTGTGAATGGCCTTGTTCTGGATTCTTTTGCAGTTGTATACTTACGGTTTACAACATTTTTTTTACTGCCACACCATGCTTGAAGCAAACCCTTTACACTTTTTTCATCAATAGTAGCCACTACATCACAGTTACACTCTGGGCAAGGAAATGTATTGATTACATCAAGAAGCAAATCACAGTCGACAATAATTCTGCATGGCTGTTGTTTACAATTAGCACTACCATACTAGATGTAACAGTGCTTTCTTCTGTCTGTAAAAACTTTCTTACATTGCCGCAGCTTCTTAGTAAATGTGCATATTACATCTGCACCAGTGCTTGTCTGAATAGTGCTAGATTGAGTAGAGGTAGACTCTAGATGCAATCAGTTGCATTCGGACGTGCCCTTGCTTTAGTAAATTCGTTAGATGTGTGTATCTATTTTTAGCGAGTGTTTTGTTCTACCCATTATCGAAAGAGAAACAAACTGCTTATGATAATTCACACAAACTAATCTAAACTGTTAATAGTATATTTAATTTAAATAATTATATGTTAAAATAATATAAGTATTTCACAGAAGCTTAGAGAAACAAAACTAGATCAAACTTAGCAACGCGCTGAAACTAAGGGAATGTTTACTTGCGAAGCGAAACGACCAATCGCAAACTAGCTTCCGCCGTTGAATGCCAATGAAAAAATTGAGGTCAAAAATTTGCATACCGGAAAAACCCGACTGAGTAAAATAAACAACTTTATGACGTAGAAAAATAATCACATTAAAATAGGTATTTTGATTGGTCCTTTAATTTTAGAACAAATAAAGAAAGGAGGTCACGGCCTTTCCATTGATATGAAACACATTAGGCTTCCGCAAAATCTAATAGTACTTTTCTAGGTCGAAAAATGGCTATTTTTACCGAAAAAGTGATCAAATTACCCTGAACACACTACTTTGAACCCGGTTTTTCATAAATAAATAATGTTTTCAGGCTCATAACAATGTCATTTTTAGATTCAACGATGGTTATTCTGTATAGATCAAGTAAAAGTGGGAAATCGATGATTTAGTGGATTTATGACGAAAAGTACACCCGCCCATGCCCTTAAAAAATGTTATATTTATTTAGCACACAATTTATTTGATGACAAACTGAGTTATTGACAATCATTTTATTTGTGAGCCACACAATTTCTTTTTGCCACAAAGAAAGTTTTCTTTATTTGACCTCTGAGCAACTCGTGTCGTCCGGGTAGTGTAAACATAATGTAGGGGGAGGGGGGCTGATTTCTTCATAGTAGCTTCAAGGACAGTCCTCCACACGCTTTTATTAGCGGCGTGTTACATGTCAGTTATGTTCTTCACACAGCCAAACTAGTTCATGCTAGCTGTCACACAGCCATTCTAGGTTCTGATAGCTGTCACACAGCCAAACTAGCTCATGCTAGATGTCACACAGCCAAACTAGCTCATGCTAGCTGTCACACAGCCATTTTAGCTCATGCTAGCTGTCACACAGCCATTTTAGGTTCTAATAGCTGTCACACAGCCAAACTAGCTCATGCTAGATGTCACACAGCCAAACTAGCTCATGCTAGCTGTCACACAGCCATTTTAGCTTCTGATAGCTCTGACACAGTCATGCTAGCTTTTGCAAGATGACGTAACACCAGTTTCTGTGGCCATGATTTAATACATCTTTATGTGGCCATGATTTAATACATCTTTCTGTGGCCATGATTTAATACATCTTTCTGTGGCTATATATTTGAAGGTACTAACGAAAACAGTGGGACATTTCTAAAGTTCAAATCTTAAGCTGGGAGAGGACTTTTATGAGAACACGACAGACAGTAAAAGTCGCTAGGTGTAAATCTAGTTTGTTTATAAAAGCTTGGCTAAGTCAGCCAATCACAGGAGGTTTTATACGTTAAGGGAGGCAATAGCAAGTGACTTTTTTACGTAGACCAACTGGGATCAGTTTTTTGTTAGACCAACTTGGGTCAGCCAACTTGGGTCAGCCAACTTGGGTCAGCCAACTTAGGTCAGTTGTGACTTTGTCAGAACTCAATTGACAAAATTATAAACGAAACAAAAAAAAACTAACTTAAAATGTTTTCCGTTTTTACTCTCGATCTAGGGTCTATTCCATGTCGTATTTAGCATGGGTGACTATAAAGTTATTTTCGACCAAATCAACTAGCACTTTAATAATACGGGGGGTGCGGGGGGGGGGGGGGGGGGGTTGCACATGACCGATCATATGTGCTCATGGGTGGATGTTTCTATCCTCTATTGACAGAATACAGCAGACCTTACTTTGGTCATCGTTATTAAAGTTATTAACTTTTGTAAAATTATTAATATGTAGACCCTATTCAAAACGATGTAGGCATCATTGATCGCGCAACACGTAGCCTACCATGTTAGCTTGTTGTTAGATACAAGAATGTCTCTTATACATGTCCTTGCTGTATTATCAGGTTCATTACACTTTCTCATGAGTTCAAGAGTAACTCTAATTCACTTTCTGCGTGGGACGACACGTTTGAAAGGGAACTTTAGTTGTTTTTGCTTTCTCGAATACAAAGTTTTGTGATCGTACAAAAAATTGACGTTTTATACTTCCCTGAGTCGGAAAAACTTAGATTTGTTAATTTTGTTTGTATGTCTGTATGCATTTGTGTGTTTGTGTCTGTCTGTGAACACGATAACTTGAGTGCCGTTACAGGTAGGTTGATGAAATCTCCAATGAGTAGTTCTGTATCAACTTTTCAGCGATTTCCAGAAGTGGAACTTATTCTACTTTAAATTTTTCAAAAGCCTATAACTTAAGTACTATTTCAGTTAGATAGACACAATTTCACTTTTAAGTAAAAGATCTAATTCTCTGTTCTCTGTCAAATTTTGTGTAATTTCCGGTGACCGGAAGTAATATTTTACGCTATTTCAGATTTTTTTAACGCATATGAGTTTTATAAAGTACTAATGTTCTGGATTGTTTGCTGTTTACTTGGTGCGCAATTCCTTTTTTTTACGATATTCTATTCTATTTTTAAAAGTTTAAGTAAAAATTGATTAAAAAGAATATGTATATCCTGAGTTGCCATCCCCTCAAATATATCGTCTTTATTAGTGCCCCTAACACAGCGCCCCTAAGTAGACAGTACCTCCCCAGTTTATGTCAGTCATCGTGCCATTAAAAAAAATTGTGAACCTAAAAATTTCGCTTTTTCAAAACACTAGATCAGATCAGTATATATCTAATTTTAAATCCTGTATTTGAAATACTGGGGTCTCTTTTTCAATTTATTTTTATTTTGAAACATTTTCATAAAATATTTTAAAATAAATCTGATTTTAAAAAAAAAAACTTACTTGAAATCTTCCATTAACTCCAGTGCTGGAATTCTTGTGTGTCGAAAAATATTATTTATTGTCCATAAATTACCGTAATCACGGAACAAAATTAGTAGCCACGGCTTAAAACCTACTTACTTTTCCTAATCCAAGTTTTTGATAACAAGGCACACAGCAGAAATCAATGCCCCCTGTGAAACAGTGTCAACCGTATGAATACGATCTCACACCAACCGGCAGGCTTTAAATAACGGATCAATCTATATCAATATATCGATCACTCTCCTTCCGTAATTATTGATATAGATCTGTGTCCGTCAAAACTGATCGCTTAAAATTACTTTGTAAATGAGAGGGTGAGAAGTGAAAGGACCGAGGGGGGGGGGGGGGGGGTCGGGTCTTTGATAGTTGCACGGACTGTAATAAACGTTTTGCGGACATGGTTTCTAGCACTGGTGGGGTGGGCAGGGGCGACATGTGTGCTGGGTCAAAAATATACCATAGAGTAGAAGAGTTATTTTTATGTGTACGAAAATAGAAACAGGTCTACTTATGAGTAAATTGAGTCATTTATCCAAGGGTGTTTTTTGTATTTTTAAAACTGTTCAGTCATTTGTCAGGAAGTTGATTATAAAAAATTTAAAAATAAATATGTATATGAATGTATATATATGTATATATATATATATATATATATATATATATATATCGTTAATGTCATTCAAATGTTCCTTGTCTAGCCTGGCTTACAGGACAATGTTCCTGTCAGATAACGACCTGACTTTAAGATGTTCCTGGTATTTATGAACAACCACGACATGTGAATAAAATCACAAAACATCCTGTCAGATAACAAAACATTTCTACCGTTGTCCCTCACGTGACATAAATAAATCAAGCCCTCGACGTGTAAATAAGTTCACGTTTGTCAAGCAAGTAGACAATTAGTTTCAAATATCAAATGAACAGGCGCCCCCTGAAATCAAGTCTCGCATGTTCACCTGTCTTCACCTGTCTGCTGTCCTGTTTCTTGTCTTCACCTGTCTGCTGTCCTGTATGTTTCCTGTCTGCTGTCCTGTATGTTTCCTGTCTGCTGTCCTCTATGTTACCTGTCTACTGTCCTCTATGTTTCGTGTCTTCACCTGTCTACTGTCCTCTATGTTTCGTGTCTTCATCTGTCTCAGTGTCTACTGTCCTCTGCTGTCCTCTATGTTTCGTGTCTTCACCTGTCTCAGTGTCTACTGTCCTCTGCTGTCCTCTATGTTTCGTGTCTTCACCTGTCTCAGTGTCTACTGTCCTCTGCTGTCCTCTATGTTTCGTGTCTTCACCTGTCTCAGTGTCTACTGTCCTCTATGTTTCGTGCCTTCACCTGTCTCAGTGTCTACTGTCCTCTGTCTGCTGTCCTCTATGTTTCGTGTCTTCACCTGTCTCAGTGTCTACTGTCCTCTGTCTGCTGTCCTCTATGTTTCGTGTCTTCACCTGTCTCAGTGTCTACTGTCCTCTGCTGTCCTCTATGTTTCGTGTCTTCATCTGTCTCAGTGTCTACTGTCCTCTATGTTTCGTGTCTTCACCTGTCTCAGTGTCTACTGTCCTCTATGTTTCGTGTCTTCACCTGTCTCAGTGTCTACTGTCCTCTGCTGTCCTCTATGTTTCGTGTCTTCATCTGTCTCAGTGTCTACTGTCCTCTATGTTTCGTGTCTTCACCTGTCTCAGTGTCTACTGTCCTCTATGTTTCGTGTCTTCACCTGTCTCAGTGTCTACTGTCCTCTATGTTTCGTGCCTTCACCTGTCTCAGTGTCTACTGTCCTCTATGTTTCGTGTCTTCACCTGTCTCAGTGTCTACTGTCCTCTATGTTTCGTGTCTTCACCTGTCTCAGTGTCTACTGTCCTCTATGTCACCTGTCTGCTGTCCTCTGTTTCGTGTCTTCACCTGTCTCAGTGTCTACTGTCCTCTATGTCACCTGTCTGCTGTCCTCTATGTTTCGTGTCTTCACCTGTCTCAGTGTCTACTGTCCTCTGCTGTCCTCTATGTTTCGTGTCTTCACCTGTCTCAGTGTCTACTGTCCTCTATGTCACCTGTCTGCTGTCCTCTATGTTTCGTGTCTTCATCTGTCTCAGTGTCTACTGTCCTCTGTCTGCTGTCCTCTATGTTTGGTGTCCTCATCTGTCTCAGTGTCTACTGTCCTCTATGTTTTACCGTCACTTCGTGGATCAGTCGCGTCCACCATCCAGTTGCCTTAAGTTTTGTTTCCACTATTCTCTTTTGTTTTCTTCATTATTATCACGCTATTGTGATGCTATACTATACACATATTGTAATGCCATACACATATGGAGATGCTTTTCACATATGGTGATGCTATACACATATGGTGATGACATACACATATGGTGATGCTATACACATAAGGTGATGCTATACACGAGTCTCGTGTTTAGTAAATAAATGGTTGGAACTACAGAAACTCTAAGACATGTTGACAGCCTCGATTTGACTCTGATACTTCCATCAAGGGAGGTCATTGATGGAATGTATTGTTAGCGTCCAAGGTCAATGAGGGAATAATGTTACCAACATTCAAGGACAATGTGGTCATTCAAGGTCATTCATGGCCAATGGAGGAATGTGTAGGCAACATTCAAAGTCAATGAGGCAATGTGTAGGCAACATTCAAAGACAATGAGGCAATGTGTAGGCAACATTCAAAGTCAATGAGGGAATGTGTAGGCAACATTCAAAGTCAATGAGGGAATGTGTAGGAAACATTCAAAGTCAATGAGGGAATGTTCAGTCAACATTCAAAGTCAATGAGGGAATGTGCAGTCAACATTCAAAGTCAATGAGGGAATGTGTAGGCAACATTCAAAGTCAATGAGGGAATGTTCAGTCAACATTCAAAGTCAATGAGGGAATGTGCAGTCAACATTCAAAGTCAATGAGGGAATGTGTAGGCAACATTCAAAGTCAATGAGGGAATGTGTAGGCAACATTCAAAGTCAATGAGGGAATGTTCAGTCAACATTCAAAGTCAATGAGGGAATGTGCAGTCAACATTCAAAGTCAATGAGGGAATGTGTTGGCAACATTCAAAGTCAATGAGGGAATGTGTAGGCAACATTCAAAGTCAATGAGGGAATGTGTAGGCAACATTCAAAGTCAATGAGGGAATGTGTAGGCAACATTCAAAGTCAATGAGGGAATGTGTAGGCAACATTCAAAGTGAATGAGGAATGTGCAGTCAACATTCAAGGTCCACAGAGAATTGTGCATCATGTCGAGTATGAGGTTGTGTGATCACAATGGAGAACAAAAGTATAAAGACGAGCTTATTTCCCTGATCCTCTACTAGACATATATGATGTAGGGAGTGAACAATAGCAGAAATTTTGTTAAAATTTTAATTTTGTAACAATAAAATCAACACCATTGCCCGACCTTTAAAAACAAAGTATTATCAACCACTAGTTGCAGCTGATTAAATCACAATTTCAAAGTAACCGGTTAAAACCAAAATACATTTTAAAGTGCTAAACAATACAACACAACAAAATAAATAAATGTACATAAATATCTACACACCTTCTCCCATGAGTATAATAAACAATCATCTTTTTTAACACACATTGTTTTTCAAATGGGAACAGAATTGGGTCATCAGATCTTGATTATCGTACATATTTAGGAAGCTTTTTATATGCTGGTGAAATGATTGTTGTATCTAGTCCCAATCTATTTACAGAATTATTTAACATGACATGAAATGGAGTTGCTGCAAAATAATAAAACAATGGGCACACAACTGATTAAAATCAGAGTAAGTGTATAGTGTGTTTGTTTCCCTTGTTTATGTAAAGTAAGTGATCACAGAAGCAACTTCTTTCCAGCTTCTCAATAAATGTTTTTAGTTCATGTAACAAAACCTTGCAACAGATAAGACTAGATTTTACAATAGTTAAGATGTTACAAATATTTGGGTTTCAACATATATGTGACAAATATTTCAGATGTAAAAAAAATTTTGAAGTAACAGACATTTAAGACATCATAAAGCAACTAAAAAAACATCTTTTAGAAGGTATAAAGCCAGCAGTAGAAGTCAATCGCCTAGCAATAAAGATTTTTTTTAAATAACTGTTATTTCTAAATTAAGAATCTTTAAACTGTCAGACTATTTAAAATCATAATAGCTAATTAATAATTAACATCTGATAAAATGTGAAGGCTTTTTTTTTTATCTATACAGTAAGAGAAATTTAGTTAAAAATTTAATTTAAAAAAAACATATTTTTAGTGCAGTTATAATGATGCACATTGTAAAGATACCTTTTAACTAGCAATGTTGGTTATACTCTTGATTTACAGAACTATTGTAAAATTTTATGCAAAATAAAATTAACAAATGTAATACTGCTAATTTTAATGGTAGAAATTGTAATCATAAAATGCTTTTGGGTATTAAGTACTAAATAAAAACTATTTAGATTTGACTAGCATTTGAAAAAAAAACTTATTTTAATACTCTTTCAATATAACAAAATTGAACTGCAAATTGTTTTTTATCAGTGATAATGACTGTAAAATGACATACTAAAAATTGCATAAAACTTGTCATTGAATTTTGACCTTAAAAAAACAAATAAATGTACAAATATAATTAAAACTTCAGGCTAAAAAAGAATAAATCATGTTTTCTTAATTACACATAATGAAATATTATCACTGCCTGTGATGTAGTATTGAATAATACATTATTTTACAAAAATATTCTTTAAAAGATTTGTGTTCAAAAACCACTTGAAGAATTAAAAGTCTGGGAACAAGCCTTTAAAGACAATTTAACACTTCCAGGATTTATCTTTAAATTTAACAAAAACAAGTCTTAACTTCATCACATTACACAGATCTTTGGTCCCACTTCACTTCCTGAAATTAATTGAAGAAATCATATCTTGTGTTAACCAAAGCACATGCTTAGCATTCTGTAGGGCCTACTGTACAAATGTTTTTTTCAACTGCTCATATTTAGTTTAAAAGTCCATAGAAAAGGCAGATGGTCCAAAAGAGTCAAAGCCCACAAACAATTTTCCATCCTTGTCCACTTTAACTGGAAAGGTTTTAGCTTTTATAAGGTGGCCTAAAGGATAAATTGTTCTGCCATCATGAATGCTGAATTGCCATTTGTGCCATGGACACTTGAGGCAAATTTCACCAGTCAACAGTTCCTCTATGTCTGCAAGGTGTAGAGGACCGCCTGAAAAGAATAATTTTTTCATATTGTATTTACAATAAATGAAATCACTTGAAATATTATAAGAAGAAAAAACATATATACATACATATCATGTGACATCATTTTTACTTTCTCGTATATACGAAGTATAGAGAAAGTCTTGTAATCATGCCAAAAAAATCTAGATTTTAGCAAATCTCGACATTTTACACCTCCCTGAGTTGGAAAAACATAGCTTTGCAATCTTGTCCATATGTTTCTATGTGTGTGTGTGTATGTGTGTGTCTGTAAACACGATAACTTGAGTACCGTTACAGCTAGGTTGACGAAATTTCATATATAAGTATTATATCAAAATCGTAAATCCGTATCAACTTTTGAGCGATTTCCAATAACTGGAAGTGGAACTTTTACTACTTTGAATTTATCAAAAGCCTATACTTTGAGTGCTATTTCAAAAAGATAAATGAAATTTCACAAGTAAGTAAAAGATCTAATTCTCTGCCTTCTGTCATATTTTGAGTAATTTCTTTTGACCAGAAGTAGTAATTTTCGCTATTTACAATTTCTCAAAAAAGCATGTGAATTTATAAAGTACTAATAATATTCCGCACTATAATACACATTTTGTTTTGCGTTCAGTTGGTGTGCAATTCTTTTTTCTAATAGATTCTATTCTATTTTAAAAAGTTTAAGTAATTAAAAATGAATTAAAAATCATGGCTATATCCTGAGTTGCCATCCCCCGTAGTGTTACATAAGAATATTTGAGAAAGTTTAGGGGAGATCACTCCCGGTTTATTAATATTATGTCATGATAACAATGATTTTAAGGGAAATATTAAACATTCAGAAATGAATTGGCAGGGTCAAACAGGTATCAAAGTAACAATTGTGCTAGGATAGGTGTGTGTGGGGATTTTACCTAATTTCACTACTGTTAACTGTTGGAGAAATATCTCCTCTAGGACTAACAATGGTTTAAAAGGGCTGATGAGGTTAGACAAAGATGATTTTAAAATGTTTTTGAAGAAAAATCTACAAATTCTTGTTATATTTTTTGGATTTTCTTAAATGATCTACATATTCAAAACTATTAAAAACCTTATCTCCTGCCCATTTCCCACAAAACCCCTAATGATATAACAAAGAAAACCTCAACATACTCACCAGCATGAGGACAAGTTGCTTGAGTTGCATATACCTTTTGACCAATTCTAAACAAAGCTATATTTTCATCATTTAGCTGTATTTGGTTCCCAAAACACTTGTTATGCATTCTTGTATTATTTGGTTGAGATTTAAAGTCATTGTTTTTTTCAACCTGTACTTTTCTCCGATGGTTTCGATCATTGACGTTTTTCCAGTCTAAAAGATCTACAGTAATAAAAAAATGGTTTTTGTTAAATAATTTGTAGCAATAAAAAAAATTACTGTTGCTTTTTTAAAAAACTCTGCCACCTTATTTATTAAGATCACTAGCGTGTCCGTAAGCGCACGTTGCCGCGATCTAAGAAGAAAGTATGACATAATATTTTAGGAGGGTTTCATCAATGCGTTACCAATCCTATATTCTTAGACGTGTGACATTGTTTATAAGACTGACTTATTTAAATGTAAACAAATGTGCTTTATTTCTTGGATCAGGTCTATCTACAATTGTGAGGTAGAACACACTCCAATTACACTACCGCAGGGACCTTGTGTACAGCCCCTGGCTTGGTTTAATCATCAAATGTCATGTGCCACAGTGTCAATATTGTAGGGTGCTCCTTAATACTAATATAGGCGCCACAGTACTCACAGAATAGCCCGGGGCACCGGCATACACACCTGATTTTTTTTACTGAACTACTATAATAACACATCTTATCCAAGGTCTATCACAGTTTGAAAACTAAAGAAGGCACTATAGTACTCAAGGAATAGCCCAGAGCGCCAAATCACACCCTGCCGGGGTACGCGCCTAATTATATTTTGTGAACGACTTTAAAACCCCATTTTATGGATAGTCTTTCGCACTGGTTAAAACAAACGTACGCACCATCACGCTCACGGGATAGCCGAGGGCACCAAAGCTCACCCTGCCAGGGCGCCGGTGGACTCGCCTGATTCAATTTATTGAATGACTATAAAGCCCCACTTTATCCATAGTCTATTGGACTGTTTAAAACAAACGTAGGCGCCACTGGAAAGACCAGGGCGCCAAAACGCACCCTGACGGGATGGGCGCCCGTGCAAAATTGAATTATTTTCCCCCGCCAAAATTTTGGGAGTATTCTCATCAACCCCCCAAAAATTCATGGCACTTGGATGAACAGTGTCGAACCGCATCCGACTTTCATTTATACCGTATATAGAGAAAATCACACCCTTGCAAAATTAAAATTGTGTTTAATCAACTCCCCACAGTTTGATGCCGATTGGATGAATGGTGTCAAACCGCAATTGACTTTTATTTTTAGTTATCCGTATAGGCCCTATAGTGAGGAATCAAATAGCGCCCCTGCAAGGGCCACCCCTGTGAATTTAAAAAAAAAATTTCGCAGAAACCTCCCCAGGAGTATTCCAACAACTTCCCAAAGTTTCATTGCGATCAGATGAAAGGTATAGTAATGCATAAAAGACAGACAGAAATACATTGTTTTTTTATATAGAGATTTTGAAATAGAAGGACTAGCAAATCCACAAAACTATTTAACACACAAAATAAAAACAACAAAATACTAGCAAATCCACATGTAAAATCAGGATATTTCGAGTCGTCCCTTTGAATTCTGTATAAATTTCATAAATTAGGTCTCGATAAGTAAATCTATAGATCTAAATCAAATTTTAATGAAATAGTTCATTTCTTAGTAGATCTATTCTAAAATTGGAAGATGACGCCATTGGTTTTGTGTACTTTCCATACTTCATACATATGATATGTGACGTCATCGATTTCGGCGTTCTTGTCCCAACTATAAACAATTTTCCGGTTGTATAATTAAAACTGTTTTTCTACATTCGAATATGCCTTTATTTTTTATTTTTCTTCTTTAAATAAAATTGTGTTTATACATTTAAAATTTAAAACATCTACCATATTATTTTCAACAAAAGTCTGTATCAAGTATCTAGTTCTCCATATAGATTATAGATCTATCGCTGAAGCTTCTGATGTGATATCCTGCGAAAATATTTTGCGGACAGAGAGAGAGAGAGAGAGAGAGAGAGAGGTTCGCACATGCTGGCATGGGCTTTTATTTTTTATATAATATTATTAGTAGGCCCTATTTATTAGGATATCTATCAGTGAGTATCACAGCAGATCAGTTCAGCTACTCGCCCTCTTATTTCTTTTTTATCACACTAGATCTAGAATATCTAGTTATTTAGGCCTAATATTTAATATTTAGTTATTACTAGACTCTAGTACTAGATCTAGATTTAGATCTAGATATCTAGATCTTAGTACTTAGTACAAGTTAGTAGTAGTACTGTACTACTGTATGTAGTAAACTTAAGTCAAGTAGGCCCTAAACTACCACGGTAATCTATCGTTTTGGGTACGTAAAATCGCCCGCGGCTATTATTATTAATGTACGAAAACGTTACCTCATTGTCAAGGCTTTAATAGAAGTATATTGTGATATGTTTGTGTCAAATATTATAGATAAATGAATAATAAACATAAATCAATGGCTAAATATATCAATATAGGCCAGAAATTAACTTTAAACAGCAGTGTCTGCAAGCAAGATTTGCTATATAAAAAGCGGCCATTTGTAAAATAGAGTGACTTCCGCCTGAATCTCGCGCTATAAGTCAATAAAAATAAAACTTAAACAAGATGGCTGCTATAGTAAATGAGCATGGTTGCATCTGTTGGAAACATCGCTGGTGTTCATTTATTACTGAAAAGTTTTAGGCCTAATTCAATTGTTTAAAAACAGGTAGAATCTACATAAATGAAACAAGGAAACATTTTTGTATTTTTCAAAACATAAATCCTCCTCAAAATGTGAAATAATTATTAAAATGCAAGGAGTCACCTGTTTTTCACATTACTAGTAGCGGGCGATTTTACGTACCTAAACCTAAACGATCTACCCTACCACTACCGACCTCACCTGAAAGTCTTATTTCGGGAACAGGCATATACAATTTATCGTCATTAATTTCGGAGCCCATTTAGAATAGATCAATTTTCAAGAAAAAACTTTCATTTAGATTTTTTAATTGCTTTCCACATTTTCATTTGTTAGGAAAAGCGTTTTAATTTCAATGTTTCAGTTGTCCCAATGTCCGTGACTAGATTTAACAAAAAACGGCTGAAAAAACGACCAATATTTGATTTTAAACTGCTAGACCTAGATAGTAGATAGACTCTAGATTTTGATCTTCCACACAGGGGAGGGGGGGGCGCTCGAAAAATACCGACTTATGATACTGGTAGGCCAAAGTTATATTATGTGGACTGTGGACGCATGTGTACTGGTGAGGGGGGGGGGGGGGGGGTCGGGTTTGGGTCAGTATGGGCGTCCACAACATTAAAAAAAAATGCACGTAAAATGTAGATTATACATCTCGTGCTAAATATCTTCTGCACCACGGTGAATACAATACATGTATCAGAAATGTAACTGTTGCAGTGTATTTTTTTTTTTTTTTACAAACGAGAGGGGAGGGGGCAATGACTGCTACAATTTTCTGAAACATTCAAGTTTAAACATTAAATTTTAAGCCATTGAAACATACATTTAAAAACAGCTAGATATAGATCTAGGCCTTGATTGAGCGTGTAACTAAATCATAATAGGCAGTGTTTCTTCCAGACTTTTTTCTCCGGGGGGGGGGGGGGGGGGGCACTTAAAATTGTCGGGGGGGGGGGGGTAGACTTTCTTCCGGGGGGGGGCTTCACCCCCACCCCCCCCCCCCCCGAAGAGATGCCTGGAAGAAACTCTGATAATAGACCTACATCATTATTTTGTGTCAAAGCCTAAGTAAGACTATATAGATCTAGTAATTTTTTTTTCAAGTAAACACTAAAAATAACCACGTTAAATAACAGCGTGTGCTCGCTTGATCAGTGTGTGTAAAAAGATAAATAAACAGGATAGAGGTAATATGCATGGGGAGGCTGTAGCCTATAGTTATGAATAGTTATGATTGTTAATAAATTAATATTATACGTCATCCTATACGAGTTGCAGAAAAAATACTATTAAATACAACATCGAATATTTAATATTTTACAGTTTTTGTTTGGTATTGACAATTGACTGAAACATTTATTAAATAAATCCAGCGCTTATCACGTAATATTATTACTTAGGCCTATAGTAGTTTATGTTACCGAAAATATTCCTATTTTGCATTATCAATTAATAATGTAGCAAGGTACACGTACACATTGCATTTTGATGAATTAGTAATTTTGCAGCATGTTTTTATAAGTAAATTATAAGAGGTCTAAAACATTTTTTGTGGGACGTCCACATGGGGGGGGGGGGGGTAGATTGTAGTGTGACGTCATGTTAGTGGCGGAGGTCTGGCTTTTTTACGATTGTGAGATTGTGACGAGGTGAAAAAAAATTACCAAAAGTGTGACATAATTTATGGATTACCCCCTATTCAATGTAAATTATTTTATTATCTTCTTTTTAGGGCTTAAGGGTCGTCCATGAATGACGTCACACTCGTAAGGGGGAGGGGGGTCCATTATTTTGTGACGGTGTGATGATGGGGAGGGGGGGGGGGGGGGGGTTAAGATGGTATGACGTCACACTTTTGCATTATAAAAAAGCAATGTTAGAAAAATTTTTTAGCTGTTATTTGTTTTTTGGGCTACATTTACCAGCTGCATTTCAGTGCTTTGTAACAGTGTAATGATTGTACAGCTGTTACATAGTGGACAGAAAAGAACACCACAAAACACAACCATTTCTCTCAGTCCTATAAAACAGTTTTTAATACACTTTTTGAAATATTAAAAAAAAAGAGGGGGCAGGGGGGGGGGGGGGGGGGGGGGGCAAATAAATAAAACACACTACAAACAGAACAGTACCACATCCCAGCAAAACCTAACCATTGCACCGACACATTACTCACACACTAATCCTTCACCACACAATAATGCCTTCCCCACTACCACACACACCACACTTAATATCTCCACCATCCACTTCACACACAACTCCCCACCATCCACTTCACACACAACTCCCCACCATCCACTTCACACACAACTCCCCACACACATCACAATGCAACCAACAATGTATTACATCTCCCACAACTTTCTACTAGTAGAATGTTGTAAAATGACTATAGAGTAGAATGGAGTAGAAAAGAGTATAAAATAGTGGGAGATAGTGTTCTACTCTGTAGTTCTGAGGTGTAGAGGGTACTGTAACACAAAATAATAACAGTAATATAAGAAATGGGTGCTGCATTTCATATCGAACATCGTGTGGCCTGAGAATTAACCAACGCTGAACTATGGGGAAAAAACCTTAATGTGTAAATGGAGATTGATCGCGCAAACATACTAACAACATCACCCAACAGGCATTAGCATTGAATCCCCATGGAAAGAGAAACGTGGATTGGCCAAAAGAACTTGGCAATTGAATGGCATGAACCCAACTTGAGGAATAAGTGAATACATTGTAAGTTGGGGCAATGGATTAATGTTCAGTAAAGGAATAGTTTGTGTTTTGTTCAGTTCATTTGTATGATCCACTAATGGAATATAGTTCAAGAATCTGGTTTTTTTCTTAATGTGCAGACAACCAGATCAAAGCAAACTTAACACAAATAATATTTATTAAATGGATTTTTTATTTTGGATTTTTTTTACAAGTTAAAAAAACAACAATTATATCTTGACTAGAATATAATTTGAGACATGCAATAAATTACTTAATTAACAATTGTGAACATTTTGATGATTTTAACATAAACTAAAAAAAGGATTGAGTAAAATCTTCTATTGTGATATTTTAAATAAATTAATGCTAATGTACCTTGATGATTAGCAAAAAAAAAAATGTTTGTGATAATCTTAACATTTAACATCTATACTTTTTATATTATATATACATAGGTAGTAGCACAGTCAGAACCGTCCCCTTCCCATTCCATTTAAGGAGCAAAAGCTAGAGTGCAATGAGCATTTTGTGGTCATGGTACTCTGAAAGATTTACACTTATGTATTATTTTATGAAATGACTAAACTTCAGGTTTACAACTACACAGCAAGCCACACAGCTAAGAAGAAACATCCCCCCCCCCCCCCCCACTGACAATTGTCAAAGTAACAACTACTGGCAACAGTGTACTTTTGCTTTCAAAGCTTTTAGTTTCATAAAATCACAATTTTACATTCTCAAAAACTTTATAGAATATAAACATATATACACAAATAGATACATAAATATATAAACTTAACAAGGCGAGATGTGCCTGAAACTCACTTTGCCCGTTATGGAATTGCAAACTTGTCACTTGAGAGCAAGACAAGAATCTTCACCACTAATGTTAAGGTATGGCTCAGAGACATGGAGGGTAACCAAATCAAATACCAACAGAACACAGTCGTTCACAAATATGTGTCTATGTCAAATCCTAAAGATAAGATGGCCAGACAAAATGTCCAACAAAGACCAGTGACAAACCATCAAGCAACAGCTGATTGACAGGGATAATAAAGCCTGCAAATGGAGAAGGATTGGGCATATCCTGGAAAAGGTCAACATTGCGAGGCAATGGACTGAACTACCCAGGGGAAAAGAACCATAGGCTGACCTAAGCTATTCTGGAGGAGGGAAAGCTGGGGCTGCTATGCTTATGTGGGCTCAACTAAAGAAAGCTGCCCAAAACACAGTCTGATTGAGAGGTGTAGCTGCAGCTCTTTGATCCTCAGGGGTTTCAAAGGAATAAGTAAGTCATACGTCCATAACAAAATGCTGCATTTGCCACTGCATATGTATATATTTTCAGAGTAAAACTTGTATTTGGTTATTATAAGAATGCTAGTAGGATAAACAGTATTATCTCAAGAAGTTATTTTAACAGGTATCATTGATGGTGACAGAAGTAGCATTACTAGCTCTTTTATAGATACAATATCCTGCCAATGTTTTAAAATGCACCTTGATTCAGAAGTTAACAAGTTACTTTCTTTTCAACTATTCTGCTTTCTGTCTATATTCAATACTTTAATGAAAAATGAAGCACTAGCTTCACATCAAAATAAAAACGGAAATAGTGTTACATTTTACCTGCCAAAATTGTTTATTTTACAATTCTACAAAATATTATCCTGAATATTGAATATATATATATATATATATATATATATATATATATATATATATATATATATATATATATATATATATATATATATATATAGATATATAGATATATAGATAGATATACATACAAATTTAGGCTTATGAAACCATACAAAACAATAACCCACTCTTTAAAAAATGATTATTACCATAAAAAACCACATTAACTGATTCATCAATTTATACATAAAGCATAATATAAAATCTCTTAATTACATCTGGATATAATACTGTAAGATGGCATTAAAATCCATGTAATTTAACAAATAAAACTATTATTGCAAGATTTTAAAAATTACAGCATTTTGTCAAAAAATAACATACACCTTTTGAAACTGTGCACACAGTTTTAAAACAAGTTTGATTGTTTACAGATTCCTTTTGTTTAAAATTTTTATTGATATGACATAAACACATTTTCATAAATAAATCTTTAAAAATCTTAAATATATATTACTTTTACATACACATTTTAAAATGATATTAGTGATTCACTCCTGAATGGAGATTGCATTTTTAATAATATTAGCCATTAATTCATACTGTAAATTACACAATATATACTTTAAACTTAGTCATAATTTTTTTTTAAAATCATAATTATAATTTATAAGCATGTTTCTTTTTCCTAAGAGATTTATTATAAATGCTTTTATAAAATATAAATAAATAACACTTAATACCCAGAAAAAAGGATTAAAATAACCTGCTATAAATAATAGTGCTGTACAAAGATTACTGGATGTTAAAATGCTGGACCAAGCTTATGAAAAGCTATACAACCAAAAAGTGACCAGCACTATATGATGGATACAAACAGCAAAGTAATCTACACATGATTTGAGAAACATGTCATATCTGTTATGAAGCTAAAAAATAAGAAATTGTAATTTTGGATTTGGAATGTATAACATTATATTTTTAACTGAAACTTAAATTTCTACAAAATTTATAATCAGCTTGATATGCATGATAGAAATAATACAACAAAGAAAACAAAAATTATGTACAACTAATGCTATTTAAACTTGTACAGCATATACAAAATAATTGTAATGTTATCTAATTAAATAATACTGAACTTACTAGACTAGCACTATAAACCAAATGAAAAAATAAATAATTATTTAAAAATGAACTAGTTGTAGTTACACTTTTTGTGATCATAGCATCTCATAGGCTCATTAAAATTAGTAAACATTAACAAACAAATAGAATTGAGGATAGAATGTTTGACACATTTCATAGCTGCCTTCCTTTCAACTCTACTTTCTACCAGATGGGCCTGTATGGGGCAGGTGAAGTAGAGTTTGTTTCTTTTGACCTCAGCATAATTATAAAGGGATTGTGTGGTCAGCACTAAGCTGAGCTTCCTGTATTTTTGGATTGGATTTGATATTAATTACTTGATTCATGTAACTTTCTGGTTAGACATCAAGTAGTCTATTGCTTGACCATAATATTCCATTACTGTTCTATGAGGGTATAACGTCCCCTACTGAAGTAGCTTGTGCCTTTTGTGTTCAGGCTAACACAAGAGATTCTTAAGGCAGTCCAGCATTGAATGAGTTTCATAGTTTTTAGCACCAAGTCCATACAATTCTGCTTACATCTAACATTGTATTTGTAGATGCTACATGGACTTCATTTGATGTGATGTATGATTGTTTATATGTTAGTAGTTTAATATTTTTTATTGCATTGTTTGAAAAAATAATACCTACATATCTGTATAATAATAAGTTTTTAAATGCACTAAAAATAAAATAAAAAGTACTTTCTTTAGATATTTTTAAAGCATTGGACACTTTGACAGTTGGTCAATGGTTACATTTCTAGAAATTAAATATGGATGATGTGATAAGCTAATAATTAATTTTCAAAATTTCCAAAAGCGAGTCTCATGTATTAGTTCTATTCAAATTCAATACTACCACCATATATTGCCAATATCAACATAATCAAGTAGCCAGTAATGAGACCAGCATTTTGTAACATAAATGTTTTCATTTCACCAAACTTTTTGCCTTCTTCAGATTCAGCTGCTGTGTTCATCTCTGGCATCTGAGAGAAAATAATTTATTCAAGTTAATAAAGTGAAAATTGTTGAAAAGTTTACACACACTCAAGTTTTGTGGAATGTAATAGGACTATACATACATTAAAAAAAATATTTTTTTTTTTAACATTCTTGGTATTAAAAATAAAGTTGAGCAACTTGCCATATCAACCAGAGAAATGTAAAGGAACATTCCACCAGCCACTGCAAACACCCACTCGTGTGATGATGTGTTCTCACCCAGCACAATACCCAGCATAACACCAAAGTAGCATGTACAGGCAGATAAGAAATTGTACAAAATTGCTTTTTTAAATTTCATTCCCGAATTTAGAAGAATGGCAAAATCCCCTGCAAAGACATTTGATGGAAATATATGTTTTGAAACGTATCATCCGAAGTACAACTTTTGAGAACATAATAGACTATGAGCTAAAAAAATGTAATTGTAATGAGAAGAAGTAACACAAGTAAGGTCTATAAAGAAATCTATTAGATCTAAGATAAAACCTATTTAGATTTGAAATAATGATATAGGATTCATTTGAATACACTAACATTAAACTGGGCTGAGACTCAGTGTTGGAACTCCAATGCCGCCAGACCCTGCAATGCGAGGAGGGCCCACACGGTTTAGGGGCACACATAAACAATTTTTTTATAGTTAAAAAATGTCATTTTCTTGTTTTTGACTTGATTGTTATTTTGTAAAAAGAATACTGTAGCTGCGGTTGGATTATCTTTATTCTATGGACACAATCCTACGCTCTTGTATATTCTTTTTCCCTTTGTTTTTAAACTATTGTGAAAGCTGAGTCCTCTTTCTCCTATACTCAAACACGCTGTTGTAGGCACAATTCTTTTGAAAAAAAAAATCAAAGTCCATTGTGAGCGAGGCCTCTAGATATAACGACAACTTTTGCTTCTTTATAGCGTTGGAAAGAGGCCCACAATCCATTGTGATTTTACAATATAAAAGGTAAGTTTTTTGTATTGGTAGAACTACTATTCTGTACTATCCTGTATTCCACAAATAATTTTTAAAAAATTTCGGTTTTATGTATGTTTACTTATTTTTGTTTTACAAAATATGTGAAAGTAAACTTGTATAATTTGAATTCTCTCCCTTGAGTAAATTACAATAGGCTTTAGGAAAAGTAGTTGAGACCATCCCAGCTTCGGTACATCGGTTGTCCCTTTTAAGTTCCTTTTTTCAGACCCCCCCCCCCCCCCCCCCCCCTTAGCCTTACAAGCAGCCAATAGATACATCACTAGTGTCTAATAAAATGGGAGAATTGTAGAATGTACAGCTTGGAGGCTAAACAATTTTTTTGCGGGGTGGCCCATTTTTTCTAGTTCCGCCACTGCTGACACTTGTTTTAATTTAATGCTTTTACTCTTATTTGTAAATACTTAACAAATAATATTTATTTATAAATTCCTAAAGCATCTGAATGAAACATCTTTCGTACTTACCCAATTCATGTGGAAGCTCCTCACACAAGACAGCCACACTTACACCCACGCCTGTCATTATACTTTGTGTAAAGGCTGACCCAATGGAAAGGCCATCTATAAAGTTATGTAATGCATCCCCAAATATGATCATATAAGCCACTGGAGCAATTTCATCTTCAGCATGGTGATGGTGATGTGAATGGCAGTGACCATTACTGTGAACTTTATCAGCTGTTTTAATGATTGGGTAATTCTAAAAAAGACGTACAAATAATACAGATTACCTCCCTTTATACTACAGGATATCAAGATAAAAGGATTTTGACACTTATTATTCCTGCCTACTATTCTTGTTATTTTTTTTTTTGCTTACAAAAAAAGGACTGGAAAAAATTGTTTACACGTACTGAAAATTTCAAAAATTACTTTTAACATCTAGACTCTAGAAAGTTTAAAAAAAGATTGACTCCAGCTACTGACCTGATCCCCAGACTGGTCAGGCAGTAATGTTTCCCTGTTACCATCAGGCGTGTCTGGTGTCTGCTGACCAGCCAAGCTAGTCCCTTGACTAGATATAGAATAGGAGCTGGAGTTTGAATGAATTTGTAGACTGCAAATCCCACCTATGTTACTAGGAATCTGTGTCAAGTCTCTGCCAGGTATGGAATTATCAAGTGGTATTCGTCTAAATGATGTAGTTAGTGTTCCTTCAGTGGCCAGTTCATCATGTTTCTTTTTTAAGTTTGTATTCTGTGTCAGATGCATATATCATATGGTAACAAACATTTTACGGGCAAATTCAATGAAATGTCACTAACTTCTCACTCATTTAACTTGAAATATTATAGAAACTCTTACCTCCCTCCTTGAATTTATCATCCTCATTATTTTCTCAGTGAAATAGAAAAGATAAATGCCTGCCATGATAGCACTTGCTTTCCATATATAACTCATATCATCATCATGGACCAAATGAAAGGCCTGTTAAACAAAATCTCATTATTTAAAAAAAATAAAGTGATCCCAGACAATTTAAGAACAAATAAAAGAAAGTGCTCTAATGTACCTCTGGGATAAGAAAGAGAAGTCCACTACCAGCAAGTGTCCCAACAGCTAACGCCACCATAAACATAAGTAGAACTTTATAGCTGTTTAACTTTGTACATGGTAGAATAAGGGCTCCAGTCAATGATGACAGATTTATAAGAGTAACAAACAAAAAGCTGTAGCCCCAAGCTAAGAAATAAAACAAAAACAATTATGTAGAAGCATAGATAAAACAAAGCATCATTAGAACAAATGTAGTCCCTACCTAAAAGCAGCAGCTTTTTGTGTGATACAAAACAAGCCTAATCAATACAAGATGTTGTATGAACAATTTATAAATATAAAATATTCCTCAAAGAGTAATATTGAATACTCTTATTCTTATTCAAAAATTCCTTAAAAGATTAGAACTTACTTAAAAATAAATTAAAAAAAAACAACTTACAAGCTTCGGATGTGGGCATAGCATGCTTTGTTAACTTGTTTTTATTTCTATCTTGTATTTTTTGTTGATTACATGAGATGAAAGAGTAGAGCAAGGCAGGAGAAATATTTTGTATCTGCTCTTGTGTTAATGGTTCATTCATGTCCAGTTTGTACAACACACTCACATCTTTTAATGTCAAGCACTGATTAAAACATAATTAAAGCAATTTAGATTTACACATTATAAAATAAAATACTTAAAAAAAAGTTTTTAAAAAACCACGTTTTTCTTGTGGACTAAAAAGTAGAAAATAATTTTTTCTTTTGTGCTTCCTCGAGCTGTGCAGGTTCTTGTGATTACTGACAAAAAACGTGGGTACGTTCACCATCAAATTTCCCGACCCATCTGCCCGACCCACGTTTTTTGTCAGTCATCACAAGAACCTGCACAGCTCGAGGAAGCACAAAAGAAAAAATTATTTTCTACTTTTTAGTCCACAAGAAAAACGTGGTTTTTTAAAAACTTTTTTTTAAGTATTTTATTTTCTCCTTTTTAGTCCGTTGCTACACATGAAAAACGTGGTTTTTAAAAAGTTTTTTATATAGTTTATTTTCTACTTTATCTAATGACTTGATTAAGCATGACTTGACTAAGTGTTTATAAATACACGGACTAAAAAAAATCTTGAGCGACCGATACGCTTTAAACAGAGATTCGAAAAAATTTTATTAAACAGGATTCGAACCTGGGTTGTCGCGGCCACAACGCGAAGTACTAACCACTATACGATCACGGCCAGCGCGCTCACATCGATTGGGGCCGAAGTAACTGTGTCAATAGGCCTCCAGTCTTGTCGGTATGTTTAGAAATCATGTCCTCGATTTTATGGTCCTTGGGGCGTAATTTAATTAAGCTAATTAAAGTCTCTAATTGCTAGTTTTTATGATTGCATCTGAAATTGTTAGGCAAAAATAGCCTGCATTCCAAATTTCAGATCTCTAGAGCAATCAGAAGTGGGCTAATTTTCGATGTCAATTTTAACAACAAACAAACAAACAAACGCGAAGCTAAGTTAAGAAAAACGTGTTAAAAAAAAATTAAACAGCTCTTTGATTGAAACATATATTCATATTTCCCATGAATTTTTAAAAATTCTAAAACAAAAATATATAACTAATCAGAGCACAAGTTAAATTCACCTCAGTCATATTGTGTACACAAACTGATAAGTTTTCACTTGAGGCCAGACAGTCTGGATTGCATGATGATGAGTTTGTAATAGCTGACCATAAGACATCCTGAGAGGCAGCTAATGTGGAGAGGGATGATTTTGATTGGGCAACAGCAGATGAAAACAGAGCCTGTATGCTGTTTAAATCTCTAGTCCTGTTTTCACAAGTTGCTGTTTGACACAGAAAATTTACAGCCAAAAGTATCCATAAAGAAAAATTCCGCATTTTTAATTTCATTTTTCTTCTCTAGGTAAACACTTTGTTAATCTGAAAAATATATATGTAAATTTAAATACTTTTTAGTTTTACGTATTTACATACATATTACAATACACAAAGGCATGTAAAAAATAACTAACTGCTGTTAGATCAGTGTCTTTAAAACAAGAGCTTTTCTTAAACAGTGTAAAGTGTTATATTCTCAAAGAAAGTTTGGAGAATATTTAAACTGTATTGACTGTTTCACATGGAACAAGATAAAAGCCAAAGATTAGCCAAACTAATGTGTACAACCTTATCAGCATGCTTTTTTTTAAAAGTCAGGAATAATTGTTATGTTTCTAAAACTAGTTTTAACAGGTCTAGGCCTAAAAAACCCTCACATTCCTATTTTATTAACTGAACATTTCTAGCTTAGTAAGTAAAGCTTACTTGCATAAAAGAAACAAACACTGAATCATTCTGTAATTACATCAACCAAATGTAAAACAAAAAATATAATACAAAGCATCATGTTCAAACCCAGATGCCTGTGTAAATAGCAATTAAAAAATGCAGCAACCCTACACTACAACTGCTGCTATGCTCTTGGTAAGTGTGTGGATTTAATAGAATTGCTAATTGCATTGTCTGACCAAACCAGAAATTTTAATTACTTGGCGTGATGTCAATTTGTCACTGTTACATGTGTATAAACAACAAATACAGCAATTAAAAAACAACACATGGTCATTAAAAATGTACGGTAAGCAAGGGGTGAAACAAAACTTGAAATTACTTTGGCAGAGTTTATCTGTCTATGTGTGGTCAGGTACTTGGAAGAAAGAGAAGGCATGGAAAGTCCTGCAGAGTTATGCCCTAAAACATTGGTTGTTACACTTTCACATGCTTAAACAAAACAACATCAGAAAAATGTTTGCAAAGAAAGAAATCATCAAGAAAATTATTATTTTAGGTACAAACACTTTTTAAAAAATATATGAATACATTTAATTATTACAATTTTTACTTCATAAAGCAAATCTACATGAAGTATGCCAACAGCTTGCTTTTTCGGGAAGCTTTGTTACGTTTGTGTATATATTTAAAATGTTTTTTAATAACTTAAAAATCTTACACTTATATTAGCTTTACATTTCATTAAGAAAATGTGTGCCATGTTATTTTATTATTAGCCTATACAAAAACAAGGTAATTAAAAAGTCTAGTGACAATTTTAGCGCAATATTCTTATGTTATCTAAAAATAGCTCTGTCGTAGCGTAAATCAAGAGCAGGGTTAGTAAAACCATTGGTTAGTTATTAAAACGTTTTTTATTTAAAAAAAATTCAGTATTTTACATGTTTTATTTACAATAGAGTTACATGACTAAAAACCATTGCGCGCCTACTGAACGTGATGGCGCAGCCATGGAACGCGATGGCGCAGCTATTGAACGTGATGACGCGTGTGGTGTGGTTGGAAAAAATGCCTACTAATTCGGTCCAAATTTTAATTAATTCAAAAAATTTTTTGTGACCGAACGAAAGGATATTTTTGAAAACTTTCTTCGGCAATATTGTTCTAAATTATGGCAGGAATCGATTGGTACATGTTTCAAGTCGCTAAGTGGTCTGGTTGCCGAGATATTGGCCAAAAACTGCTTTTTTTTGAGGTTTTTTGGCTTTTCCGGGAAATCCATGAAAGAAACCCGGAATTTTTATGGCCTATGTTCATCCTCGTAACTTGCTTAACATAATTGCTTTTGGAACTAGTCATCGATATTGCTTCGTTGAGGAGGAGATACGACTTAAAGCTGCGGACACACATCCATCCATTCATTCATACATTCATACATCCAGAAATGACGAGTTAATAAACGCAATTCTCCAGAATGGAAATTGCGCTAAATATGTTTAAAATTGCTACTCATTAGTCCAATTTTCTTAAACTATTAAAATATCTGGGGGCCCTATAATTCTTATTGACTAATCACTCTTGAATTGTTTTTTACCAGCTTTATCTCAGAAATTTTAGTTATCTCTTTCTACAAACACAGCCTTAGAAAGTTATCGGTAAAAAAAAATACAAGATACTTACAACAAATGTTAAGAAAATTGTAAATGAGTAAAGATAGTTGGCCAATCATGATCATCCACACTTTGCTTTCAGGGAAAGTTGAGTCCCTGGTCTAATAAAAACAAGTAACAAAAGTGTCAATATTAGAACTGTTATGCAGATATCCAGCGCCCTGGCTGTTGTGTGACCCATAACACCCAGTTACCCCCATCAGCACTATGGCATCTACATTAGCTTAAAAGAATGTCCTATATTAGGGATAGAGTAGGGTACTAAAATTGATGAATAAACTGACCCAGGATCAGACCTGGTGCCCCTGTAATAAATGTAACTGGTGGCTTCCTAAGTGCCTGTTGACCCTGAGAGGTGTTGTATCTTACCATTGTGGTGTGTGTTGAATGTCTGGAGAGCAGTGCTGACAAACTTAAGATCCAAAAAATATAGTGCTGACATTGTTTACATTTAGAAAACAAGGTCACAAGTCAAAAATGTATGTATTGGAAAGCCTTCAGATTTATTTATGTACCAGACAGAAAAACAAAGAATATTGTGTATGAACAAGCACGTGAATAAATCAATTAAATTCAACACTTTGAAATGTTTTACATATTAAAATTAATAGACTCTATACCTAATAAGGTTTAATAAAAATGACATACTATTATTAGAGTGCAACTGACTGGTACTTTTAGCTTGAATTTTTTCATAATCATATCACATGTATTCATTTCTACTAAAATTGTAGCAATGTGTGAAGAGTAATAATATTAGGTGAAACCCTAGTTTATTGTCGGTTATTATTCCAAAATGGAAAAAAATATAAAAAAGCAATAAAAAAACAGTAAAACAATGACAAAGTCTGTCACACAGTTGCGGAAAACTGCCGGAAGTACTGTAAAACACATTTTATTTGGCACCAACTTTTTAATACAGAACGTTTAAAATTTGGATAGACTGATTTTAATTAAATGTTAAATACTGCTTTACTAATCATTTTGTATTGCTAATTCTTTTAAAGAGTTTCTGCTAAATATATGTTGAATTGTTCTAGTCATTTTTACTATTTTCATAATCATTTTTATTTTTACTAGGCCCTAGCAGCTAGCTAGATCTAGATCAGTGGTTCTCGAACTTTTTCGAGTGGCGACCCCCTTTTAAAAGAAGTAAGTGACCCGTGACCCCCATAGAATTAAAAACTCAAAATTATTAAGGAAATTAATAAGCAATAATGGTGCAATGGATGAATGGTGCATACTACACCAAATTGTGTGAGCAGTTTTTCATTTAACATGATAGTGATGCGGAATCAAAAGAATTCATCTTGCAATTCATCGGCAGGAATGCTGGCAACATCAAGGGAAGCAGAGAATGGGTTATATGTCAATGCAGATTCATCTTCTTTCAGCTCAGGGTAATAACACCGCAGTTCGTTTTCAAGAGATTCAAGATGACCAGAATCCTATTTCAAAATTTTATTTGTCTCACAATCAGATTCTTCTACCACACTACAGAGTTTCTCAAACATGGCAATATTTCCAAGATTTTTTTTTCTTCGGAAATTTTGCAGCTTTGTTTAAAATGTCAAGAGATTATCATGAAAAGAGATAATATTCGTTCTTTTTCCCTGAAGCTTCAGGTTAAGTTTATGTTGAGGTTCAAATATATCTGCTATGTATGATACTCTCTCCAACCACTCTTTGTCATTAAAATATATCAGAAGTTCTTGTTTCCTTTGCACTACCTAGAACAACTTGATTTCATCTGTCAATTCAAAAACACGATTCACAACATTTCCTTTTGACAGCCAGCATACTGTAGTGTAGACTGTAACAACATGAATTCTTTGTTGTTATTGTGGGTTCTTCAATATACTCATACGAGCAACAGTAGTTGTGAAACAATAACTTTATTTACACTTTGTACAGAGAATTAATAGACCCATAGTAAATCCATGGTCACAACTGGTATAAGTACAATCACAGTCAAGAAACAAAGTGTCGTAGTAACATCCTACATTCACAGCCACAGTCCTCAGGTTCAAGTTCTAGCACACAACACCCGTTCACCTTTTTGCTCTCCCTTTTATTCACCACTTTCTCTCCCCTTACGTACATGAGCGATCTCACCCAAAAGCATGAAACAACACATGACGATCGCTCAGACAGTCCTTCCGCTAGCCAGGTACTCTTCATTCATGCAAAACACAATATAATAAGGATACATAATTATACAGTCTGTGACACGTCCCCCCTTCAATTAAAATTTTGTGTAACAAAATTTATAAATACAATATTGGTAGGGCAGGATCATGTGCCAGACAACAAAATTTTTATACATCTCAAAAAACATGGAAAAATACATTCTTTGTAGACTAATGCACAAGCATTATGTGTAATGTATTCAAATATGAGAAAGAAAAACATTTCAATTACCAAGTAATTGTATAAACAAGACAAATGAGTTTAGTGAATTACCAAACTATAATACATAGTTGAAATTATCAAAGACTTAATTCAACTCATGAATTAAATAATTATATCCTATGTAGTAAAAAACTTCCTTAGCATCAAGGCATGTTATTACGACGCATGATTAATATACTTTGTTGTCTCCCCTAGTTGACCCATTTCAGACAAATCTAGGTCACAACACAACAACATTGCCTTTCACAGGTATGGCTAACACACAATTCATCATTGAGACTTCCGTCTTATTGTTATGCGGAATAATAGTCTCTAACTTTTACTTGATTTACTTTATTCACTGTTAATTAATAGTATAGAATAGGTTTAACATAATACAGTTTACAATCTTTTGAAATAGTACACAATTTATATTACTGATACAAATTGTTTGATATTTATATATTACAGTTACAGACTGTATAATATTAATAAACTGTAAATTGATAATTTAATCTTAGCACCCTCTATAGCATGAGTAATCGTTCTCGTGCAGTTGACGATGACCTGTATGCCATCTCTCCCTCAAATTGTAGCTTTTAGCTGTGCTACCATAATCATTTCCTAGATTTCGTGTAACTTGTGTTACTTCATTTGTTTTAATATTCTCCTCTGGTTTCTGAACAACGTCAGTGGTTATCTTGCTTTGTGTATGTTGGTTTGGTTCATCAACCAACTCAATATAAATATTATGGCATTGCTTTGGCCTCTCATAATATGTGTTGCGTCGGTAACTTCCATTAGTATACCTATTCACACTTTTGTTATTCTGATTTGAAGTTGATACATTTCTTAAATTACTGTATTTCTCACATGACTTTCTGTGTACATAATTGTTTCTTCTCTGATTTGCCAACCTATGCCAACATTGATTTTGGTAATGACCTGTTTTTCCGCAGTAAAAACATCTAGATTTTGGCTTCTTATAAACATGGTGACTGTATTCATAGTTTGCTAAATTTCTTTTTCTTTCATTCTGTGCATTAATGACATTAATGACATTCTTATTAACATGTTGACTGTATTCATAATTTGCTAAATTTCTTTTACTTTCATTCTGTGCATTAATGACATTGTAGTTTCTAGTTACTGTTTCATCTTTCTTAACTTCCTTGTGCTTCTTTATTGATTCTAATTCACACATAAATTTCTGTGTTAATTTCTCCATTTCTTTGTTAAATTTATTCTTGAGTTCTAGGATATCTTCTTTAAAGTTTGACTCCAGATTTCTAAGTAACTCCTCAATAGGTACGTTCTCTTTATTGTGGCTTATTAAGTTCACTGATTCATTAATCATCATTAGTTTATCATGATTCCTGCCATTCTCCGATGGACTTATTAAATCATCACTGCCATTGACTGATGGGCTTATTAAATCATTTTGACTACCATTCTCTGATGAACTTGTTTCTTGTTGACTGCCATTCTCTGATGGACTTGTTTCTTGTTGACTGCCATTCTCTGATGGACTTACGATACAACTTTCAATAATATTCTCGTGTACCTGCGTATCATTCAAAAAAGAGTCAATCTTAAGACATACTAATGTATCTGTCACCTTTAAATCATTATTAAGTTCAACCTCTGTTTTATCCTTGGGTTTCAATTCTTCCTGGACTATGTTACTCTGTTCTTCATTCCAAAGGTTGCCAATATTTACTTCTTCAAGTTCTGCTTTAAATTCTGTCTGTTCACTTTCTAATTTTGGTTCATTTGTGTCTGTTATAGCTTTCATTTCTAATAGTTCTTGTTTATATTCTAGTTCATGTAGGCCAACTTGTTTTTCCAAAGTTTCAGCCCTTTTATCTGCTCTCTGTTTTCTGTTTCTTTTTTTTCTCTTCCCTTTTTGTTGTACAGTCTCCTCTACTTTATCTCCATCTGACATTTTTTTTTCTTCTTGCATTTCTGTAATACCTCTTGATTTATTACACACTATTTCTATCACATCATCTAGTTCTCTCAATACATTTCCATGAGCTCGTTTGGGTTGTTCATTTTGTTCGTCCCATGCTTCTAATGCTTTTTCTATGTCTCGGTCAAATCGAGTGTTTGCCCAGGCTATCTGCTTCTTCATCTTCTTAATGCCTTGCGCCCTCGCTAGTGCTAGATATTCTTCAAAACATAACATTTTGATATATTTTCTATGACATAAAATATAAATTCATTAGTTGACAATAGATAAATGTTAATTAATTTACAATACCCTTTCTTGTATTCTGGCTTTGTTCAGTTGATTAGAGACATCTAGTAATCCAAGAAAAGTTCATAGTACATATATAGTACAAAAATAGTTCACTTTGTTGATTCCAAAAAGTTGAAAAAATTCAAAATAGTTCTAGTAGCCTGTTACAGAGTAGAAATTTGTCCAGTTTTAGATAAGACATCTTTAGGAACAGTTTAGGAACAGTTACAAAAATAAACTTGATCTGCTAAATCCAAACAGTAGAAAAACTTGAACAGCTAATCCATATAGAAAAAACTTGAACAGCTAAATCCAAACAGTAGAAAAGAAACACTAAGACTTGATCGGCTAAATCCAAACAGAAAAAACACACAGACGATATTTACTCGACATTGGTGAGACAATATCGAAATAAGGTGATAAAAATTATCACGTTGATGACTTGACTTGAACAAGACGTCTGACTTG